CTGCTTCTGACTTGAAGCTGTGTGACTTGGCCAAGCCCTTTGCCTCCTCCATATCTCAGTCTTTCCATCAGTGTATCACAGCCTTGAACACCAAAAGTCTGTGTGTGGGATCCCCAGGCTGGGACATTGCAAAGTGGTGGGAGAGCCTGGCTCACCCTGGAGCAGTCTGTGCATGTATTGAGAAGTCCGTGTGCTCACCTCACACATTGCTCCAAGGGGCAGTGGGCACCCCCCACCCCGTAGCACAAGGATGGTCAGGAACACCTCCCCCAACTTGGTGGTGGCATGGGGAGGGATCTGAGGGAGGGGTACCACCTAGCATGCTAGACTGGACCCACCCCTAAGCCTGCAGTCCCACTCTACAGATGAGGACACCAAGTCCCCCAGCAGCATGTGAGGCAGAACTGGGGTGCTCACCACTGACCCAGCTGGCCACGGGCCCACATGGGTAGGGAGAGATGGCCCTGGGAGATGGTGCCCACCATCTGCCCTCCCAGCTCCCATCCTGGGCTCAACCTGATCCTTTTGCTCCTGAATTCTAAGCCCAGATTAGGTTTCAGATCTGCTGATGGAGCAAGAGAGGCAGAGGCAGGAGAGTCGAGCAGAGGGAGCCCAGCTGTCCCCAGCAAAAAGGCTCAGACCTCTTGGCCATTCATTTTACAAATATATATCTAATGCTTTCTCTTTCTGACCCTTTCTCCTCCACGGCTGCAGTGAGAGGAAACGGGGTTTTGTAGGAAAAGGGATTGAGCTAGGCTGCTTAACCCAGTCCTGGAGGGCAGACATGAGAGCACCCATGGGCTGACCCTGGTCTCTCATAAGGACTGCAGTGGGATGGACAGGTGGTTAGACTTAAGGGAGGACTTTCCAGGCCACAATTCTTCCCTGACACAGGGAGTTAGATACTTTAGATGAGTTGACTCCAGGGTGGCCCCTGTTTCTCCAGAAAGCCAGGGAGGAGGAGGGAGAAGAGAGCCTGAGTCTTTGCTTTGGATCCTGATGGGTTTGTAATTATTCCTAAATCGTTGCTAATTAGGGGGCTGCTAATTAGGTGTATCATTAGGGGCCTTGCAGAGGGGGCTAATTGTACAGTGGCCCTTTAAGAATCACCCCTCTCATCCGCCCCCACCTACACACACACACACACACACACACACACACGCACACACACACACTAGCTGGCTTCTTCTTGGGGAAGTTCTGCCAACATTCTGCCTCCCTCCCCCAGAGGAGTTGGCTCCCAGCCTGTGGATATGTGGGTGTGAGTTGGGGGCAGGCTGTGGGTTAGATTCCCATAAGAACTTTTCAGACAGAAATGGAAATTACTGGGAGGTGAGGCTGGTGGTCAGAAAAGGGGTCTGGGGGTGTGGAGGCTCAGAGGACACCTCCCTTCTCTCTGCCCCCTTTTTATAGGCTACGGCATTACTATGGCAACCTGAGGGCAGAGCTGAGAGAGAACCCGGGAGCCATGGAGTTGGTGCTGGGTGACTTTGGGCAAATTATTAACCTCTCTGAGGCTTGGTCCTCTCATGTGTGAAATGGGGGGTGGTGTGGGGGGAAATGAGGCCAGAGAGAAATGGGAGACAGATGGTGCCATGGAGAGGACTTTGGTACTCTGACCGAGACAAGAGCCATGGAAGATCTGAACAAAGGAGGGACATGAGCTGATTTGTATTTTTAAAGGAAACCTAGACAAGACACAGGCATAGCCACTCAAACCCAGGACAGAAGCAGGTAGAGAAGTGCTGAAACAGTAGAGACCCCACACCTTCAAATGGGACAGAAAACCCAACAGAGGGCCTTGTGTGTTACAGCTGCTGAGGACTTGTGCTTGAGAGCCTGGGGGAAAGCTCAGATCACAGACCCGGGGATACTGGAGAGATTGACACCTGCTGCCATCACCAGGGAGGATGTGAATGAGCCCTCCAGCAGCCCCTCCCCAGCCCCATCTAAGACAGACCCCCCCCCCCC